AACATGTCTGTGGACGTGGTTTGTAGGTCGGGTCGCATTCCGCCTTGATTGTCTTTCGTTTTTCTTCCCCAACAATATTTTGCTTCTTGGGAGTAGGCGCCACCTGTCACTCGTCTTTCTTTAACCACTTCAACCTCAGCACAGTCTTTGTACACACGGAGCCTCAGTGAGGATTTAGGGAGCACAGACCTGTTATGATCGCTACTCTCTCCCACAGGGTGAGGCTGGCCTGGAGAAACAGGCTGAGTCAGCAGCACGGATTACTCAGGGCTTTGTGGTCCCGGAGTCTGTTGGGGTGAGGTATCACTCTCTGACTGTCTCCCAAAGCTCTGAGCACACGGCACCTTTCACCGGAGGTGAGAAGGGAGTCCGACACATGAGAATGAGCCCGATTTTCATTACCCAGTTCCCGCGATTCTCCTCTGATGGTGCCTTGGGTGTATAATTATTTTGCTAACCATGGAAAAGGGCCTGTCGGTTGGTGCTGAGACTCGCAGGCCCAGTTTTAGGAGCAGATGGGAGCACCATAGTGGCTCTGCCAGGAGAAGGCTTTTATGGTTTGTTTGTGTTTTTGGTAATAAAGCCACCCATAGTCCTGGTACCCTGTACACATCGCGGCCCTCACGCACTGGGGCAGCTGTGTGCATTTTGCGCATTTGAATCCCTAATCACAGCGCGTAGGATTCTAGAGGCACACTGGCAGGTTGAAGACGCAAACCCAGGAATATGGCCTCGGGGCCCCTGGGAGCCCCAGGCTGTGCACACAGCCAGGGGGGCCCGGGAACCAGCCCACTGGCACTCACACAGGTACCCTTCCCTGCAGGCCACCCCGCAGCGCCAGTGCCAGCGCCAGGGAAGGGGGGGCAGGGGCAGGTAGTCCCAGGCACCTGGCCGGAGCTCCTGAAGGTGAGGGGGGAGGGGATTGGGCACTCCAGGCGGCGCGCACCCTGGCACCTGGACCAGGTCCCGAATCCCCGGAGCTGCCGGGAGGACCCGCGCGGTGCCGAGGCCCTGGCCCACCTACCTCCACAAAATAGAAGCAGGGCAGGAGGGTGACGCTGTCCTTGATCACTTTGCCCTTCGGCCTCTCCTTCG